CTAATTATTGTTGGTTTATGGCTTATTGAGAAAGGTGTGGGATTAAGATATTTTGTGCTGTTTGTTGGGTACGTTTTTTTTTTTTTTATACTTTCTACTCTTCATTACTGTTTACTAATTTATGTGCCACGTTTAATTAAATTAGCGTTATGTCTTGTCTTTATTCTTTATGGGATATACTGGATGACTTGGGTAAATATCTCCATTTCTTTCTACTCATTATCTATATTCGTTATTGATATTAATTCGAATTATGTTGTTTTAAATTAGTGGTCAGAAAGGTCAACGAGTCCGATGCAAGTCAATTTGCTAAACTTTGTCGTTGCTGTCCTGCACAATGTTGGGGTGTAATTTGGTTATTCATAAGTTTTATTTTCTTGGGTGCAGCTGTAATATTGGGTATATTTGCTTTCCATAATAACGAATCATCTACATAATTTAGAATAGTACTATGTCCCTTAAACTGTCAATTCAATTTCAAATATACTACAATGTAGACTATAATCCAATATAATTTGATAGTTTAAGGGATAGTTATTTTATCAGTTAACTGCATATATAATTATCATTTTTTCATAATTTATTACTTGGGATTTTGTGACCTTACATAACAATATTGTGCTTCGGATAATGATTTATGTGAGTTTAAAGACCTTATAGCCTTTTTAATATAATAAAATTTTTATATATAGGAAAAAATTTTTTTACTATATATATAGTATTTAATCTCAACATAATCAATGTAACCTAGTAAAATTAGTTTATAATTCAGTATTGGGTAAATCAGTGGTCTGGTCAATTGGTCAAACTGGTCAAATTGGTCAAGTCTATTTATTATATAAATATAATATATATTATATAACAGATAATAAATTATATTTTAAAATGCAATTTGACCAGTACGAATCCTTCGACCAGACTGGTCAAATGGTCAAATTGGGCTGGTCAATTGGTCAAACTGGTCTGGCCTGATTTATAATATATATTAAAAAATTAAAAAGTTTTTTTTTGGATTATTTTTCAGTTATATTTGTTATTTAGAAACTCATCAGCTGTTTAATTATATTTTATATTCATCCTGACATGTGGCAAGTGATATTTTCTATCCTAATTAATTCTTGGGTATTTTGAATTATTTACAATTTGTGCTTGTAAAATCCGCTCAAAATACAGTAAAACACTTCTTTTGCGTAATCATAGTTCATAATTTTGGTGGCTGATGTAAGTCCAGAATTGTATTCTGCACTTTTAGAGAATTTAACGAACCCGACACACGGATGTAGTGTTCCATTTATCCATCGGATATCCAAATCTGAATTTATTCGGATATCCGTTTTACTATTAATATCCGGATAATTATCTGATTACCCGTCAGATTATCCGGATATCTGAGCGATTTGGATTATCCAGACGGATAAACGGATGACGGATTTATCCGGATTGGAATTCTACACGGATGAATCGTCAAATGATTCCTGATGTTACGATTCCGAATATTACTTCAAGATAATTATACAAATCCGCTTGTTCGAATTTTCGTTTGCTTTCTAGTATTTCTTGATTTTTCTGAATATGGGAAGAAGAATTTACACAATTTTTAGTATTATTTGCGTGAAATAACGCCCTGGAGCGTTATTTCGAGACATACAATCTAAAAAGAACTAATAATTAATTTAACCGAATGTGAATTATAATCTTATTTATTTAACAAATTTTTGGCTAAATTAATTATGAGTTCTCTTTAAATTACATGCTTTAAAATAACGTCCGGGGCGCTATTTCGTGCAAATTTGGTATATATTAAGGAATCTTGGTTCTTGCCAACTTAAAAAATTAGAATAAATACTTTCCTCAACTGTATTGTAGGCTTGCACCAAGTTTTGGGCGATACATTTATCCATACCAATCATTTTAGCTTCAGTTACTAAGGCAAGAATGTATCGTGTAAAATTGCATAATCAAAACTGCCATATCCACGGCTTCCATTAACTTCGCCTTTTATCAATATGCCTTCTGATATGATTGACTACCAGGTCAAAAATATTCGCGACATGTAGCTTCATTAAAAGAAATCACTTGAAATGCATCTACTTTTCTCTTGAGGTCGTCGAAAAAAACATTGCAATTCTTCATTACTAAAATGCATGAATACCTCAGGAAGTTCTATTCTGAATTTATCCATCACTTCACTAGATTCAGGATCAGAAAGTGTAAAAATCTGAATCTTTCCCTCGGTAATCTTTGCAAATTCATTAAACCTGCGAAGAAGCGTCTTAAGATTATCCATGTATGGGCCATTTTAGACAATCATTTTTATTAACGATGAATTTCTCGAAACCTGGATTTCCCTCAAATTTTATTCACGTTGTTATTACGGGGCTTGGACAAAAGTCCGGGTTTTTGTTGGGGAAATCTATCTTCGTTGAATACCAATTTAGGTTAGTTTGGATAATCAGTATTATTTACATTAGCTTACTTATACATTTATTACGTATACTACTTATAGTGGTTTTGCGCTTATCTAAACTGATTTCAGAAATTTTCCTTGATCAAAGATTTTAGCCACCTGTATCCAGAAATTATAGTTTATCATTTGGCGAACTGATGACAGTCTTCTACGTAGTACAGAAAGAAAATAAAATATCAATACGACTATTAATTATGTAATCAAGCCAAAACGGACTAAAAGACTGTCATCACTGATGATTTTCAAGGGCTAAGTTCGGCGAATAATAAACTTCGCCGAATAATAAACTATAATTTCCGGATACAGGTTTTCCCTTGGCAGCACTAATATAATCGATTAGTCGATTAGTTGATTAATCGATTAATTGATTATAATCGATTTTTTAATCGATTGTTCCAATTACTAGTTAAATCACGGCTTGAAACCCAGTTTATGCATATGCTCCGGGTAGGGATGGTAAAAAATCGCTTTTTATTGATTTTTATGTTTTTT